TAAATATTGAAAAAAAAAAAAATCACAATTTTTTATAAGCTTTTAGAAACTGATGATATACTGTACTCTATAATGCAAGTTAAACAACATTATGCATCCCAAGCTATGTCTGGTATACATATACTTTGAATAACTAAGGTGTACTGAACACTTGTCAGTGCTTACTAATAACCCACATGGAGATAATTTTTTTTTTTTTAACACGTCGGCTGTTTCCCACTGAGGCAGGGTGACCCAAAAAGAAAGATAATCCCAAAAAAGAAAGAAAAAACTTTCAACATCATTTAACACTTTCACCATTATTCATACATAATCACTGTCTTTGCAGAGGCGCTCAGATACAACAGTTCAGATGTCCCTCCAGGCTGCCAATATCCCAAACCCCTCCTTTAATGTGCAGGCATTGTACTTCCCATTTCCAGGACTCGAGTCCGGCTAACCGGTTTCCCTGAATCGTTTCACAAAATATTACCCTGCTCACACTCCAACAGCTCATCACGTCCCAAAAACTCGTCTCCATTCACTCCTATCTTACACACTCGCTCACGCTTGCTGGAAGTCCAAGCCCCACACCCACAAAACCTCCTTTACCCCCTCCCTCCTATCTTTTCGGGGATGACCCCTACCCCGCCTTCCTTCCCCTACAGATTTATGTGCTCTGAGTCATTCTACTTTGTTCCATTCTCTCTAAATGACCAAACCACCTCAACAACCCCTCTTCAGGCCTCTGACTAATTTTTTTTTTTTTTTTTTTTTTTTCAACAAGTCGGCCGTCTCCCACCGAGGCAGGGTAATTAGTAATTCCACACCTTTTAATTTCCACACTATGAATTCTCTGCATAATATTTATAACCACACATTGCCTTTAGACATGACATCTCCACTGCCTCCAACCACCACCTCGCTGCAGCATTTACAACCCATGCTTCACACCCATATAAGAATGTTGGTACCACTATACTGTTGTACATTCCCTTCTTTGTCTCCATGGATAACGTTCTGTCTCTCCACAGATGCCTCAACGTACCACTCGCCTTTTTTCCTTCATCAGTTCTATGATTAACCTCAACCTTCATAAACCCATCAACTGACAAGTCAACTCCCAAATATCTGAAAACATACCTATATTCACTTTCAACTTTCTACCTTTACATGCCCTCCCAAACTCCTCCACTAACCTTTGCAACTTTTCTTTAGAATCCCCCAAAAGCACAGTATCATCAGCAAAAAAGTAACTGTGAACTCTCATTTTGTACTTGATTCCCCATAATTTAATCCCACCCCTCTCCCCAACACCCTATGATTTACTTCTATTACAACCCCATCTATAAATATATTAAACAACCATGGTGACATTACACATCCCTGTCTAAGATCTACTTTTACTGGGAAATAATCTCCCTCTCTCCTACACATCCTAACCTGAGCCTCGCTATCCTCATAAAAACTCTTTACAGCATTCAGTAACTTACCACCTATTCCATATACTTGTAACATCTGCCACATTTCTTCCCTTTCCACCCTATCATATGCCTTTCCTAAATCCATAAATGCAATGAAAACTTCCCTACCTTTATCTGAATACTGTTCACATAGATGCTTCACTGTAAACACCTGATGTACACATTCCCTACTCATTCTAAAGCCTCCCTGCTCATCTGCAATCCTACTCTCTGTCTTGCCTCTAATTTTTTCAACAATAACCCTACCATACACATTACCTGGTAAACTCAGTAAACTTATTTCCCTATAATTTTAACAATCTTTTTTGTCCCCTTCCCTTTATATGAAGGAATTATACACACTGCCATTCCCTAGGTACCAACCTACCTTTCATACATTTATTAAACAAAAATACCAACCACTCCAACACTATATCCCCCCTGCTTTTAACATTTCTGTCATGATCCTGTCAGTTCCAGCTGCTGTACCCCTTGTCGTCTTATGTAATGCCTTGCACGCCTCCCCCACACTCACATCCTGCTATTCTTCACTCCTGAAAGATGTTATACCTCCCTGACCAGTGCATGAAATTACTGCCTCCGTTACTTCATCGACATTTAAAAGTTCCTCAAAATATTCCCGCCATCTACCATAAACCTCCATCTCCCCATCTACTAACTCCCCTACTCTGTTTTTAACTGACAAATCCATTCGTTCCCTAGGCTTTCTTAACTTGTTTATCTCGCTCCAAAAATTTTTCTTAATCTCGGCAAAATTTCTTGTCAGTGCCTCTCCCACTGTATCATATGCTCTCCTTTTGTACTTTCTCCCCACTCTCTTCCTCTTTCTTTTACTCTTCATATACTCCACCCTTCTTATATCACTTCTGCTTTGTAAAGACCTCTCATAAGCTACCTTTTTCTCTTTTATTGCACCCTTTGCCTAATTACACCAGTCACTCCTCTTTCCTCCTGCACTTGCCCTCCTTTGGCTACAAACTTCTGCCTCGCATTCTAATACTGCATTTTAAAACTATCCTATCCCTCTTCAACCCCCCCCCTGCTACCCATACTTGCACTTGCCCACCTTTCTGCCAATAATTACTTATATCTCACCCTAGCTTCCTTCTCCCTTAGTTTATAAACTTTGACCCCCTCTTACTTATTGTTGCCATTTTCCTTTTGTCCCGTCTACCTCTTACTCTAACTGTAGCTACAACTAGATAATGATCCGATATATCCGTTGCCCCTCTATAAACATGTAATATACATTAAATATACAGATCAATTAATTATCCGAGTTTGTCTCCACCATGGGTTATTATTGAGCACCATATACTTTACGAAAAAAAATAGCAACTTTTTATTTTTTCCAGCAGCCACAGAGTGTTTTAGCCAAGCCCAAGAAAGTTGAGAAGAAAGTGCTGCCCCCAGTTGAAGTTGATGGTCGAAGCGAGTTACTCAAGGCTATCAGAGAAGGTAAGTAAGAGTAGGCTAGTCTAAACTGCTTTAATGTTATTATAAAACTTTTGTGCTGTTGGAGTGTGAGCAAGGTAACATTTATGAAGGGTTTCAGGGAAACCAGTTAGCCGGACTTGATTCCTGGAGGTGGGAAGTACAGTGCCTGTACTCTGAAGGATGGGTGGAGATATGTTAGTTTTTCAACGATAGCATCACCATGCCTCTGGCAAGACAGTGATGGAGTGAGTGCTGATGAAAGTGCTTCCTCTCTTTTGGGTCATCCTGCCTAGGTGGGAGATGACTGATGTATTAAAAAAAAAAACGCATGTAGGGGAAAGAAACCTACAAGGACGTTTTGGTGCTGTATGCAGATTATTTGTGTATTGTTCCTGTCACTGTATTGTGCCATTTTATTGTTTATATATGCTTGTTAATGGCCTTGTATATATACTTGCAGGTATCCAGCTGCGTCCGAGGGTGGACGACGTCAAGACTAAGCCCAAGGAAGACCCAGACAGTATTGATGTTGCTTCCATCCTGCAGAGAAGATTTGCCTTTGAAGTTAGTGATAGTGAATCATCTTCTGATAGTGAGTCTGATAGTGACGAGTGGGACGAAACCAGCGCATAAAACGTCTGGATGGAACCACTTTTTAGCTTCTTCATGCGAGCTTCTGTCTTTTTTTAGCCGTTACAGACAGGATCAGAATATTCAGTGTATTCCCACATACCATGACTAAAGGAACTAGCACTCTACCAGAGTATCAGTTGAAATGATGTTTCTTAGTCGGTACAAGTCATGGTTCAGTATGTATCCTTTCTATTTTGAATGCTATGGTAGCAGGTGAAACACTTTTATGATTCACTATGTGTTTTGCTTGACCCCAAGTGAGACAAAACAGTATGGCCCATATCATAGGCCTCTGTAAGACTGGATTTGTGTTTAGTCCTATGATGGTATTGGTCAAAATTATTCAGAGACAGAATTTATATGGAATTGTGACCCCTTGTGGCACATAATGTGGCCTGTGGTTATGAAAGTCACTATATACATGGTGAAAGATTTATATTCTTTTGGGACCATGTAATCTATTTGTATGGTTTTTCAACACCTATTTAATTTGTAATTTAATTTCCCACAGCAGGTATGCATTGGAAAACAAATTAAGGAAGCTACATTGTTATGGAATATTTTTTATAGTTTCTTAATACATTTGTAAATTAGTTCCTTTATTGTATATGCTTTTGTTTGTGATATCCTGTTGCCCTTCTCTTGTTAATACAGACATAACTATTGTGTATAAATTTCTGGCTTATGTTAAGTTCTATTTCCAAAGACAAAGCTTTTTAATTAATATATAAATCTATATATATAAATTTCTCTCTGCTGGTGACTGTCCCTCTCTATTTTTCCTGTCCTTTTGTCATGTATATTATTGACCGATAGTAAAGAAAAGATGCAAATTGCATCAGGTTTTATGGAGATTTTGTTGCCCTTTGTTGAGCTTTATTAAGTTATGTGTTTGTGAAGCTCACACTGTTGAACATGTGAGTTACATATGTGCAACACCTGGCTGCATATTTTGAATACCTTTTGATAACCAGTGGCTTTTTCAGTTCAAGAAAGAGTATTAACTGGTGACAGTTGAAGATGAGGGTAATCAGTCCCTCAGCCTTAAAGAATGGTGACAGTAGTAGAGGAGGTTCAGTCCCTCAGCCTTGAAGAATGGTGACAGTAGTTGATGGGGTTGTCAGTCCCTCAGCCTTGAAGAATGGTGACAGTAGTTGATGGGGTTGTCAGTCCCTCAGCCTTGAAGAATGGTGACAGTAGTTGATGGGGTTGTCAGTCCCTCAGCCTTGAAGAATGGTGACAGTAGTTGATGGGGTTGTCAGTCCCTCAGCCTTAAAGAATGGTGACAGTAGTTGATGGGGTTGTCAGTCCCTCAGCCTTGAAGAATGGTGACAGTAGTTGATGGGGTTGTCAGTCCCTCAGCCTTGAAGAATGGTGACAATAGTTGATGGGGTTGTCAGTCCCTCAGCCTTGAAGAATGGTGACAGTAGTTAATGGGGTTGTCAGTCCCTCAGCCTTGAAGGATGGTGACAGTAGTTGATGAGGTTGTCAGTCCCTCAGCCTTGAAGAATGGTGACAGTAGTAGAGGAGGTTCAGTCCCTCAGCCTTGAAGAATGGTGACAGTAGTAGATGAGGTTGTCAGTCCCTCAGCCTTGAAGAATGGTGACAGTAGTAGATGAGGTTGTCAGTCCTCAGCCTTGAAGAATGGTGACAGTAGTAGATGAGGTTGTCAGTCCCTCAGCCTTGAAGAATGGTGACAGTAGTAGATGAGGTTGTCAGTCCCTCAGCCTTGAAGAATGGTGACAATAGTAGATGAGGTTGTCAGTCCCTCAGCCTTGAAGAATGGTGACAGTAGTAGATGAGGTTGTCAGTCCCTCAGCCTTGAAGAATGGTGACAGTAGTAGATGAGGTTGTCAGTCCCTCAGCCTTGAAGAATGGTGACAGTAGTTGATGAGGTTGTCAGTCCCTCAGCCTTGAAGAATGGTGACAGTAGTAGATGAGGTTGTCAGTCCCTCAGCCTTGAAGGATGGTGACAGTAGTTGATGAGGTTGTCAGTCCCTCAGCCTTGAAGGATGGTGACAGTAGTTGATGAGGTTGTCAGTCCCTCAGCCTTGAAGAATGGTGACAGTAGTTGATGAGGTTGTCAGTCCCTCAGCCTTGAAGGATGGTGACAGTAGTTGATGAGGTTGTCAGTCCCTCAGCCTTGAAGAATGGTGACAGTAGTTGATGAGGTTGTCAGTCCCTCAGCCTTGAAGAATGGTGACAGTAGTTGATGAGGTTGTCAGTCCCTCAGCCTTGAAGGATGGTGACAGTAGTTGATGGGGTTGTCAGTCCCTCAGCCTTGAAGAATGGTGACAGTAGTTGATGAGGTTGTCAGTCCCTCAGCCTTGAAGGATGGTGACAGTAGTTGATGAGGTTGTCAGTCCTCAGCCTTGAAGGATGGTGACAGTAGTTGATGGGTTGTCAGTCCCTCAGCCTTGAGAATGGTGACAGTAGTTGATGGGGTTGTCAGTCCCTCAGCCTTGAAGAATGGTGACAGTAGTTGATGGGGTTGTCAGTCCCTCAGCCTTGAAGGATGGTGACAGTAGTTGATGGGGTTGTCAGTCCCTCAGCCTTGAAGGATGGTGACAGTAGTTGATGGGGTTGTCAGTCCCTCAGCCTTGAAGGATGGTGACAGTAGTTGATGGGGTTGTCAGTCCCTCAGCCTTGAAGAATGGTGACAGTAGTTGATGGGGTTGTCAGTCCCTCAGCCTTGAAGAATGGTGACAGTAGTTGATGGGGTTGTCAGTCCCTCAGCCTTGAAGGATGGTGACAGTAGTTGATGGGGTTGTCAGTCCCTCAGCCTTGAAGGATGGTGACAGTAGTTGATGGGGTTGTCAGTCCCTCAGCCTTGAAGGATGGTGACAGTAGTTGATGGGGTTGTCAGTCCCTCAGCCTTGAAGGATGGTGACAGTAGTTGATGGGGTTGTCAGTCCCTCAGCCTTGAAGGATGGTGACAGTAGTTGATGAGGTTGTCAGTCCCTCAGCCTTGAAGGATGGTGACAGTAGTTGATGAGGTTGTCAGTCCCTCAGCCTTGAAGGATGGTGACAGTAGTTGATGAGGTTGTCAGTCCCTCAGCCTTGAAGAATGGTGACAGTAGTTGATGAGGTTGTCAGTCCCTCAGCCTTGAAGAATGGTGACAGTAGTTGATGAGGTTGTCAGTCCCTCAGCCTTGAAGGATGGTGACAGTAGTTGATGGGGTTGTCAGTCCCTCAGCCTTGAAGGATGGTGACAGTAGTTGATGGGGTTGTCAGTCCCTCAGCCTTGAAGGATGGTGACAGTAGTGATGGGGTTGTCAGTCCCTCAGCCTTGAAGGATGGTGACAGTAGTTGATGGGGTTGTCAGTCCCTCAGCCTTGAAGGATGGTGACAGTAGTTGATGGGGTTGTCAGTGTCTCTTGCCTTGAAGAAGGTATTCACTTCCTTAGATTTATCAAGGCTAGTAGCCATCACCATCAAGACAGTGACCATCACCATCAAGACAGTGATCATCACCATCAAGACCAGTAGTCAACACCATCAAGACTAGTAGCCATCACTATCAGGGCTAGTAGTCAGCATCTTCAAGTTGGTTAGACTGATTACATCATCTCTGGTCTGCAGTAAATAAACTCTGTATTGACTTAAAAAAAGTTGCTGGCTTGTGAAAAAAATATTAAAAATAAATACCCAGGTGTTTTACATACAGTAAACTTTGAGTATAATGGACTAATCTGAGGCGGGATTGTCAGTGTCCATCAAGTCGGATAAATGTTGAAAAATTTTAAAATATGTAACGAAGTACTCTACTGTACACCTAATGTAGCACTGTAAACATTACAGGAGTTAAAAGTACAATTTATCCAGTAGACTCTACTCATAATTTTCAAAGTCCAATATATCGAAGGTTTACTGTACATCTTGATCCATCAGCTTGTTGGTATTGCATACCATTAATATTAAGAGGGAAACATTGGTCCAATGAAGGTTTGTTCTGCATTATGGGGTCTTTCCATCACTTGCTGGCAGTGCGAGCGTTGCATCTACATTATTAACTCGTATGTGATATTAGGTAACAATCTTAGTTCTGTGATGGACGCTTTTTGTATGCTGGAACTCGATGAATAATTCACATTGCTTACTTGAGATGTAGCTAATTACTTTTCTTCCTTGTATGAAACATTTGCCTGTACTGTACCTACTAGGAGTTGAGATGAGGATGGTGAGTCAGGATGAGTAAGATAGGCGAGTTGGAACGAGTAACGTAGGTGATTCGGGATGAGTAAGGTAGGCGAGTTGGGATGAGTGAGGTAGGTGAGTTGGGATGAGTGAGTTAGGATGAATATGGTAGGTGAGTTGGGATGAGTAAGGTAGGTGAGTTGGGATGAATATGGTAGGTGAGTTAGTATTTTTCACTTTAACCCTTAAACGGTCCAAACATAGATATACATTCACTCGTGCAGCGCCCCAAATTTTTTGAGAGAAAAACAAAATTTTTTAATAGGAAAAAAGAGTATGTGGTACCCAGGCGTCCCCAATTTTTTTCATATGGCGCACACTGAGTGCACACACCCATTCTCTCATGTCTAGGCATATCGTGCCAATGTTGAATGAATGACGAAGGAAACGTATATATGCGTTTGGGGTGCTACGTGAAAGAACGTATATATACGTTTGGACCGTTTAAGGGTTTTTATTAATAAAGACTAAACTTGCTTAAAATTGTTTTAAATGTTGTAACATTACTGGACCCTTAGATAATTAATGAAAACAACCAAGGGAGGGTGATCCAAGAAGAAAACACACTTACCATCACTCATCCAGTAGCTATCTTGCCACAAGTGTGTACACATCATAATTCCAGTAATACTACTACCCAACATCTTTGGTTATCATTCCTGTGTTGGTACTAAAGTTTTTTTTCCTTCTCCAGAATCTAAGGTTAACCAGTTTTGTCTTCAATCCCTTCATAAGTGTTACCTTGCTCACACTCAGTGGCACACCAAGCCATAAAAATCACTAACCAAACTCCTATCAAGTACATTCATAAGCACTTGAAGATTCCTTTACCTCCTCCCTCCAAAATTTTTTGTTTATGATCCCTATTCCCTCCTTTTCTCTTCCCCCAAGATTTATATGCCCTCCTAGCTAGTCTGTTTATCCATCTTTTCTGAATATGCAAACCACCTCAACAACCTCTCCTCAGCCCTCTGAATTCTCTGCATGATATTCACAGTATATTGCCATCAAGCACATCTTCACTACCTCCAGCCTCCTCACTGCAGTGTTGAAAACCCATACCTAACACTTTACAAGTGTTCGTACCACTATACAGTGGACCCCCAGTTTACAATATTATTTCATTCCAGAAGTATGTTCAGGTGCCATTACTGAACGAATTTGTTCCCATAAGGAATATTGTGAATTAGATTAGTCTGTTTTAGACCCCCAAACATACACGTACAAACGCACTTACATAAATACACTTACATAATTGGTCGCATTGGGAGGTGATCGTAAACCGGGGGTCCACTGTACTTTGGTATAGTCTCCCTTTTGCCTCCATGGATAAAGTTCTTAAATCTCTGCAGATATATCAGTGTACCACCCATTTATGTTTCCCTTATCAGTTTTATGGTTTGCCTCTTGCTTCATAGATCCACCTGCCAATAAGTTGACTCCAAAATATTTAAATACATTTACTTTGGTTATTCCAAAATTCCTGAGCATATTTTGAAAGAAATTCTACAGCTGAATTTTTATTTAATAGTGTTGTTAAGTCAGAAGAAAATGGGCACATAACCAGACATAATGTGGTGAAGGAAGGATGGTGTAATGGGGTGATACATACTAATAGGTTCAAACAAGGTTGCTTCCACCCAGAGAAAAAAGCTGGTTGGTTGGTGGTGAATCAAAGGTGAGAGAGAGCCAGAGGAGGCTTGTGATTGGTGAGGGATCAAGAGAGAAAGAGAGAGAGAGAAGACTTGAGTGGTGGTGGATCAAGGTGAGAGAAAGGCAAAGCTCGTGATTGGTGATGGATCAAGCGTGAGAGTGAGATGATGAATCAAGGGTGAAAGACAGAGAGGTTTGTGAAGGTGATGGTTCAAGGGCTTGTGCTCTGATTGGTGGTGTCAAGGCTTGTAATTGATTTTTGGATTTTCTCTCTCTTGCTTTTTTGGCTCAAATTTATTTATTTTTTGGTTGTCTGGTACCTGTGTAGAATTTTTTCCAGTCTTGCAATACATATTGGGAATATGAATTTTGATCTTGACCTGTTTTCTTAATTGTTTCATTTGTGTTGATAACATGACCAAGTTGAACTTGGTGGGAACATCAGTGCCTGCACTTTGAAGGAGGGGCTGGGATGTTGCAGTCAGTGAGTGGGGATGTTGCAGCCACTGGGTGAGGATGTTGCAGTCAGTGGGTGGGGATGTTGCAGCCACTGGGTAGGGATGTTGCAGTCAGTGGGTGGGGATGTTGCAGTCAGTGGGTGAGGATGTTGCAGTCAG